AATGCGTTTAGGTAAATTAAAAGGCCTATTTTCTAGTTTAAAATTCGTTTCAGGCAATTTTACTTTTCACCAAAACAATTCATTATCAAATTAATTAACAAATTTTTTTTCTTTCAATATTGGCATTTTTTTCAGAAAAAATTTGATTGTGGTGATCTGATTATCAAATTGATGTTCATTTTATTGTTAAAAATTATTTAGAAGGAGTTTAAAACATTTAGATAAATATTTTTTAATTCACTGAAGCATTGACTCCCAATATTCATAACAAAGCTTTTTTTAAATTCACCATGACGTTATCTCCATATCGATTTCTCCAGGGAATTTGGAAAAATCGCAAATAATATGGATACCGTACGTTTAAACATATCACACTGAAGAATAAATATAGACCAGAGGTACACAAATCGATTGAAACAACCAAGAAAAAAAAAAGAGCAGACAATACTTTTCCCGAGGTGATTGGTTTTCTCCCCAGAGACATTTTGTTCACTAACTGATTTTCTGTATACATACCAGGGAGATGAAGTCAAAAGTAACATGAAAAAGTTTTTAATTTATTCAATCCCAATATTTTATTCAAAAAATCTATCAGAATCAATCTCCAGTTATGGTAGCAGTGGAAGTAGGATAATTTTTGACAAGCTTTTCTCATTGCTCAATTAATTTAACACTTGATACTTTTCTGTGAAAAATCAGTGACAGAATATGATTAATATTACCGAAGAAATTGAAATACATAAGTCTGTATGTACATAGACAATTATTAGTACTATATAATCCTGCCAACGAACTCGAACTCGGCTGATGAACTGCAGCAAAATTAAACTGAACTCGTGTTAATAATGTAACTCCTCTTCTCTACTATACTAGTAAAGTCTAGTATATATGATTTTCGCCCTAGCACATGGTGTATAACTTGTGAGTGGTGGTAAAGTGATGATAGACGCTTGCGCACCCAATTTCGCTTTTGCTAACTTTAAGTACTGATAACCCAAACCCGACGCTAACATGATCAGTCAACACTCAACCCCATTTTGTTGCCTAGTATTATTATCTACCTGAGATTAATTACTCAATGATATTTTGAATAATTACTTGTTGAAAACAGAATGTATTTGGTAGATTTTGATGTCATTAATATTTATTATACATGTACAAATCTTCATTTATGCCTTAAGAAAACACCCCAGGAATAATAGTAAAATAATGATGTCAAATAGAAGAACATGCAATAAATAATATTGTCTCTTTTTTTTTTATTAAGAATTTATAAGTGATTTCAATGAAGGTATAGATGCATAGTAGGCTGATAAAGCTGATGATTATATAGGTAATTAGCACTTAATTGATCCTAATTAGATGCAGGAGTTAGAGAATGTTAATGGTATGAATATTTATGATGGATCCAGGAATCAGGCAGTGTTTTTTTAGAATTAAGTATAAGAAAAATGTAGAGATGGGTTATTAAGTGAAAATTGAGTATTAGAATAAGTCGCTAAGATAAACCTGAAAATATCTGTATTCACATTCATATATTTTTTAAGCTAAACATCAATAGCTTCATCTGTTTACATTCTTCTGGTCAGCACGATCCCCTGAAGGCTGTAGGAACAATTAAGGGCTGTAAAAATATCTCTTTTTTTATGCTATTTACAAAGTGTTAAAAATTCGTGCTGCACTATTTTACCAACAAAACACAGGTTTAATCATAGTTTGTTCAACCTTTCTGAAAATAATTGAACTATTTTAGCATGCAAGCTTCACTGTGATTGCTTACTCCATTCTATTATGACATTTTAACGCTTTGAAAGAAGAGAAAATTGTTTTTAAACAGTTTCTAATTTACATTGGTTGTTGATTTTCATTCATATCTTCAATATGCAAATTGGAGATATTTTATTTCTTCTCTCCAATATGAGAAAATCATGAATCACTGCAAATTAGCTGTACTTTATGGTCTGACTATTCGAAAGTTTTTGTACGATTCTGTTGCAATAATATCTTGCTAAATCTTGATACTAAAATATTTCAATAAAACTTTTTCATTCAAAAATATTTATTTCTTATTACTCAAAATTCCTCAATTGTCATGAGAATAAATTAAGTTTTTTTTGATAATTAATAATATTATTTAATCAACAATAAAATTTAGATAAATAAAAACAACTCCCAGTAGCTATTTTTTTTCATTAGAAAAATTTTAATTCCTTTTTCATCATGTAGATGTAATCTTTATGCTCGTAATTATTGAATAATAATCACAGTTATTATATTTTAATTGAGTTTATCAGCTATATCCTTATTGTGATAAGCAAAATTAATTTATCAATTATGTAATGGAAGGTGATAACATTTCTATGGCATAAGTAATAAACAGATTTTATCAGGATAATATTTATTATTATTATAATAATAATTATCTTCAATTATTATTCATACTAGATATTATTTTTCATTTTATGGCCGTGCTTTTGTTTTGCAAAATAGCATGTTTTTTTTCTTAATTTTTGGCTTTATTATGTCCTCACAATTTAGTATAAAAGTGGGAAAAAACAGTTTAAGAAAATTATTTCTATCACAGCCAATGGGATTCTTCTTTTAGGAGTCATTTGTGCCATCACGCAAAAATACTCCACTTATTTTGTCGTTTGAGCAATTTTGCTGCTACATGAAGAGCATGTGCATGGTGGCCTGAAGAAAAATGGAATTTTAAATTGCGATGAATGATTGGAGTACTTATGGCAAAGTTAATTAATATTTATGATTCACAAAATATTCTTTTAATTTGATAAAATTCTTTACTCAATCATTGGCTCAAAAAAACAGTCATTATTTATTGATGGTAGATCCAAGTGCTTCTAAAAAATGCATTATTTATGTTCTGTTAATTTTCATTTCTACAGTTCTAAAGGCCTAAAAAAGGATTTCAAATGAATGGAGATATTAATCATGCAGACCTAATTTGATTGTTTAGAATAATAACATGAAAATGATCTAGCACTCATGCAGGCATAAAATTCTAGTAGAGCGAGTATTATTGTGCACAGCCATGTACGTGCTTGATGTACTAACTTCTGGTGTACTTTATTCAGACATGAAGCTGTGCATACTTGTACTTATTCTCCTAGTGCCTGATAATCTCCATGTTATTTGCTTCTGATAGATGCAATTTCAGAAGGCTGAATGAGGTTGAATAACACTGTAGATAAAACAATTTGTTTGTCATTTTTTTTGATTATTTTATAAAGATTTATGATCAAAAGTATTTATCCAGTCTTTAGTTGATTGCTGACTTTTTATGATTATAATGATTGTACCATCAATATAATTATTAATAAAGTAATAAACAAAAGCAAACACGTTTCAAAATGATAAAATAAATTGATCTATAAGCATGAAAAAATTTCTTACATCAAACGAATTGATTTTAAATGATTGATGTTCCTAAACAGCAGTTTTGATTTAGGATTTTTTAAAAATTTTTTTTAAGGCATTGAATTGTACACACTAGAGCAATGAGTTAACAATCAAAATCAAAAGCTCTTTTCGAAGAATTATTTAACCAGAATCCACGTGACTTTATTTAAATAACCACATGAAAGAAATCAGAAAATTGTAATGGTTCATTGTACCTTACATTTCCTTTGCATTCATCAGCACTGTACATAATGTATAAGTATAGTTAATATCATTGGGTATTTCATCTGAAGTATATGGAGTTTATTGCAGTGGATTCTGTTTCAGGTTTTAGTCACGCGATGCTTTTTGCTGCTTCTTGGTACCCCGTTATCTCCAGCTGGAGGCAAATCTTTGCGCCACGAAAATATCATCACTATTCATTATAATGATTCGCTGATTGAAGCTTCGGTTATAATTCAATGTGTTTAGATATGATAAATCGGTATACTGTCAATGAGATTTTATCAAGGAATTAATTTACACCTTTTAGATTCACGAGTTTAAAAGTATTTTTATTACTTGTTTATCTATATCGTCACGAATTTTAAAAAAAGCAATGACATAATACTACAACAATTGTATGAATAGTCTTTTTTTCAAACAAAATATTACTTTTCATAAATATCTACTGTTTAAATGATTTAAAACAACGTGAACAATTTGTTTGAAAAGTGTAAATAGTAGTTTAGTTATTCAAAACAAATATCAATAATTTAATTGATGTACTAATAAAACGATGCTTACTTGATAGAATTAAAAATTTAGATAATTGATTTTATTCTTTGTTCGAAAGTTTTTTTTTTTAATTGATTGATTGAATGAAGTCACATCAAATTTTAACCAACTATTTTTTTCACACACTAATAAATAAACCAGTAATGATAAATAATTGGAAATATTATAAATTTTTAGAAAAATATTCATGTGAAATGTTTTAATTTTTTTTTTTGGTGATGGAAAGTTGTTTTTTTTAATAACTTTCAATAATTGTAATTTGAACACTTTCCAAATCATTTGAAATAAAATGGTAAGTATTTGATTACTTCTTAGTGCTAAAAAAAATATTTAAATTTATTTATTTTCTCCAGAAATATCTACGTGATCTAGTACGATATTACTAATTATAAGTATTTCCAAGAAATTGTTGTGAATTCTATAATTATAATCATTACCATCAGAATTAAATTTACATATAAAACATGCAAATTAAAATAAACTATACTCAATCACATCTTCTTTAGAACTTGGTTCAACAATAAATCATCACCATCAGGAGCTTTCTCAAAAAATTACACATTCCACTGAAAAACGTTTAAAGCATAAAACAAATTGGTACATCATCCTCTATACCTGCACTCAATTCAAAAAAAAAAATCTTCTGTAAGTAATACCAAAGGTGGCAATAAATATCATAAATACTTTCACGTTTCTTATGAAAGAATTTTTGCAGCATATACTTATCATTCAGAAGTAAACGTACAGTATGAACCAAGTATTACATATAATTACAATACAATTTAATACAGTATTATATTTACCAGCAAGTCGATCCTTCAAGTGAGAATGAGCCTGGAGAGGATGTGCAGCAAAATTAGCGAGAAGACTGGCACGATGGAGACCAGCAGCAGCAGCGGAGTGTTGATTATGCTGGAGTGCCTGAAGGCTCCAGGGTGGTATGAGAGCTTGGGACGGAATGGCAGAAGTTGGTGGTGCATTTGGACCAGGTGGTCTGTGTGCAGGAACTCTGATAACACTACTGCCAGTATAAATAAGGCCCGAACCACTAGGAAATAGTCTAAAAGGTGTGAGCAGATCAGCTGGATGTACTGAACTATGTGGATGTATTTCCGGAGTACTTGCTGAATCATCATCATCCTTATCAGACATTTTTTCTTCCAATTCATTGCCCCACAATCTCCTTTCATCTTCAAGATTGGAATTCCGGTTACTGTCATCCCAGTTCCACGTCGACCGTCGTTCCTTGTCACTTTCTGGATCATCAGAGCTTGGACTCTTCGGATTATGCCCATTGCTTTCACCAAGAAGACGACTGATGCTGAAAGGATGATTTCGTGTTGACGATTCACCAACAAGTGTCTTCGCGTGTGTGGGCAATGGTGAAGTAGAACATTCCGACGGGACCTGGTCGTGTCGATTTTCGCCAATATTTTGGTAATTTTGCAAACTACTACAACTCCGGGAATCAAGCTCATCAACATTTATCTCCTCAGAAGGATCTATATCACTGTCTGCGTGCTCAGACATCTTGCAATAATTAATACCTTCTTTTGATCACAATACTTATATTAAAAATAATAATAACAACAATTACTCTTAATTACAGTCATTTCGGCTATTTATTTTTGACATTGAATCATCAGTTAAAAACTCTCGGTCACTAACTGCCCATTATATGACGAATGTATGGATCATTTTTCCTTATGTCAAATAACTCTCATTTAATTAAATGATTATTAAAGGTTAATAACAGGTCGCTATTTTTTTTCAGTTCAAACGATAATTATTTTTCGTTACACTGCTTCTATTACATACGATAAGCAAAGTAATTTGGAAATTATGGAGTACATACGTGGTCGACCGCGAATAATTTTTTTTTACATTCGCTGGTGTATCGTTGTCTCGGCTGCTCTTTCACCATTTTATGACCCATAAACTCTCACAAAGCTTTTCCAAGTAAAGTGCCCCCTATTGTATTATCTGTGCAGTCTCTATATACGTGTATTTTACCAATAAATACATGTACTCTACCTCACTTGTTATTACAACCTATCATTCCAATGATCGTTTTCGGGTTTATGTTGATAATTGTTGCTCTTCGAATTGCACTCTGGTTTACTTAAATTTCATCGCAACAAGAATGAGAAGAAGAAGAAAAAAAAATAAACCAAGAGAAAGTTTCAAAAATTAATACTGCTTTTAAAAAATACGTCGCCATATACACCCACAGTTTTTCGAGTATCCATCATTGTTATTAAATAAAAATACCTTCTTCTTTCTCTTTGATTGACACCTGTCACTGATACATCCTACTTGACACTCAATGATTAAGTAACCGAATATTGTTATAATTCGGCAATAAAATCCATGTCACAGATAAAACAATTAAACCACTGAGTCTAAAGAGTTTATCAACATTCACTTAAGCCGATAAAACACTAATAATCCTCAGGATCATTTACCTGAAGAGGCTAAATCACGGAGCAATGCTTCAGTGATGCAGAACCGGTATGCTCGGGCCGCCGTAGTAAAGTGAGTCCCCCTTGGCTGTTCTGACAGCTCAGAACTCGTGATACCAGGTGGTTATCCCCTCCGTAACATTCAGTATAATCGAGTGGCCCACGTTTCACACGAAACGCCCACGCTGGATCACAGGCCAATGGTGGAATTGCATGGAACGCCCTGGTCTTTGCTGATTGGTTTAAATCAAATTGATACCTATTTAACATTTGAGTAGAATGTTGCAGGCGATCGCCTGTTTCTCCTGTATTATTTATTGGCTCTGTTATTTCTTCCTTTCTTTCTTTCTTTCTTTCTTTTGGATCTCGAGGTTTCTTTTCTTTTTCTCGTCTGCACTTTCTTGCCTACGCTCTCTTATTCTTGTTTTCTTATACTAAATTACCCTTATACCTTGTCACATTACAAGTATGGTAGACAAGCACTGTGACTTAATTACGTATATACGTATAGGGAACACTGTTGGTGCGCCGGTGTAAAGCTTACTGTAACTACTGAATCTATACTTGATGCTATTTCTGCACCCCGCTGTGCCTCGGCATCTTTTTGCTCTTATGATATATACTTAACCTCCCCTTTTATTCGTCATTTCTTCACTGCTTCTGTTACTGGCCTTTCACTCGGAGATATAATCACTTTTTTCACTGTTATGCTGTAGGTACCTGTCGGTAATATTAAAGTGTTGTAGTTATTTATAATTTATAAATTATATGTGTTGCGGCACTTTATATGGTGCGTGTTAAAGTTTATTTCAATCTATCGGATATTGAATTTGCTTTTGGAATTGGGAAAATACTGAGAATTCTTTTAATTAAACTCATACAGATGAAATTATTTTATTGCTAATTTTGTAGAGTGAGTTTGCATATGGTATTTTATAGGAAAAATACATTAAAAGAAAAATTTTTAAAATCATGCTGAAAAATCTTGATTTATGCAATTTTAAATTACATTATTTTTTTATTTTAATTTATTATTAATTATTGTTATTTAAATAATATTAAATATTTAAAAAACAGAGAATGTAAACAATTGTTTAGTTTTGCATGAACTTGATCAGTTGGAACTTTAAGCAAAGTGATTAAAAAATTTCTTCGTTATTCATAGCACAGCAGTGAGAAAGAGTAATTTATATGAGAGATGTGTTGCCTAGAAATCTTAATATTCAATTTGCAGTCCATTGCAACATGTAATAAATCATGAACAAAGTATTTCTTATTTTATGCTGCTGTGAATAAACCGAAAACATTAATAAAGAAATAATATACGGCATTAATTGTATTATTTCTTTATTGATTAATGGAAAAAAGTGGATTATAAAATACTTATTGGAGTAAATTTTTCTTCAGTTCAGAATGGAGTATATAAAAATCAGTATACAGATATAATTGAATTAAAAATTCCAATCCAATTAGGGTGAATTGATTGAAGAATATAGATTTCATTAGTATTAGATTCTTTTCAGCTAGTGTTTGTTAATATATTCCATAAATGTGACAGTTTAATGAATTTTAATCATTAAATTTAATTTGTCTATTTTTTTTTTAATCAATCCATTAAATTTTAGCAATCAATATCAAACTTATTCATATTAATATTATTCAAAATAACATTTTTATTTATTAGAAAAATATTCAATATGTATTTCATCTGAAAGAATAATATATTTGAAAGTATTATTATTAAAAATTATTTACTATAAAGTTTTATATTTTTAAATGTTGAAAATAAGAAAAAAAGAATACGTTAAAAAAGCTAAACCTTTGTCTCTGATTTCAGGTAAGACATTTGATAAAACGATTGAAAATAGAATTAAAGCAAAAACTTGGAGAAAAGTATGATGTAGGAAGTAATATATCACAAGATTGAAAGGATGGGAGAAAGGTATGCCCAGATAGTTTGCAATGGGTGTAGGGAAACGACGGATGACACGCAAACACTATAGATCTGAGAATTTGAAACGAGGTAATAACCCGATTCGGGTCTTCAAGTCTTTGGAATAATGCAAGAAAATTGTCCCTTGACTCGTTGGTTTCACTACGACCCCGATCGAGGATCAATTTAGTTGTCAGGAATCCCCACGTCACTTAGGCGTTTTCACCAGTGACAAAATAATTCATGCCACCCCTTTTGCACGAGAATATAGAGTGGTAGAAGACGAAAGAGTTTACCTCTCTTTGGTGAACTGCACAGCATTGCGTGAAGGAAGGTAGAGAGCTTGTAGATGGAAATTATCAAGATAAAAAAAACGAAAAAAGTTGATTCGTGATAGGTGAACGTGTTAATTTTAACACTTAATACGTTGTAAAAGTGTCTCATACTATATTATGGATACTTAAAGGATACTTCCAGCATAATAAATATAAAAATCAACAATAATTATAATTAATTAGGAAATAATTATTTTTTTAAATGTTCCAACTCGCAGTCGTAAGTGATGTTGGGTATTTTTATGCCATGTTATTACTTCGCTAGTATTTCAAGACCAAGTGAATCCACCTTCTCGTGACATCAAAAAGAAAATTAGTTAATTGCATATTTACACTTCTGGAATACTTAAATGATACGTTTTTAGCTCCATTATTACCTTGGAACATTGCTGAAACACTATTTATCCCACGCTAGATGTAATTCTTAATAATTATATTAGAAAACATAATTAAAATAATAATTGTTTCGATATTTGTAATAAACTGAAATATAAAACTTAATTGAATTTACAAGATGGTTATAATGAGTTATTGGAGATAGTTTATTTCAATTCCAGTTGAAAAATGAGTTAATAAATAAAATAGAAGTGATTAAAAAAATATTGCTTCAGAAATCATGAAGTTTCTTTGAATCTAGGGTAATGTATCAATTAGAAGTCCTTTTGCTCATTTCTTGAGAAGAATCTTCTTTCTCATTTACCTAGATTAGCTATGAAATTTTGGAGTTTTGGATGATAATTGATTATAGTGAAGCTTTTAAAAAGGCGAAAATGTATTACATTGTATTATGATGATTGGATTTGTGTCAAAATTGTTCTAAGAATATTTTTTATTGGTTGCATTTTTTTCAAATCTAACAAATGTATATTTGATAGTATTGTTATTTCTTTTAACTACTAGGTACTGGTTTAGATAAAAAGATCTCTCAGCTAGCAGGTGATGCTTTTAATGAGATTCGTTATAGCTAACAAAGTCAAATGTTAGTTTCATTCAAGATCTCCATTGTGTTCAACTCCTCGTGACTTTGCTCCAAAAGTAGATTAGTAAATATCTACTATTTTGGAGTAATTTTTACCATTTCATTTTTAAAAAGAAATTATTGTTAATCAACAATATATAACTTTAAAACTATTCCTATTGAATAATTACAAGTGATGTCGGAGCATCATAAAAGTAGAATTAATTTTCTTCAACGATGAAAAAAGAAGTTATCAATAGTTGAAGAATTCCTATCGTTACAGTAACATTTTAATAAGATGATGCCATAGTGATGCCAAGTGAACATTGTCAATGTTCCCTTTAATCTTTTGATATAAAACAGACGCGTCAATTTCTCATGAACACGAGCTGACTGCACGACACCTCGTTGCTTTAACTGGAAGCCTAGTACATAATTCCCTTGAGCCAGACCCAGGGGAATGTACCAGGTCGTGTGAGCAGAGCACCCCTCTTATACACTCTCTTGCTTTTGTTCTCGTTGTTACGAAGCGTTTGAACCAAAAGCTATTTTATACCGATTGGTTTGTTGTGAAATTTAATCGGAGGGGTCGCCAGATCAATTGGTATTTTCAAGCTAGTGAAACTGTTGTATTGTACATACAGACAGATCAAAGGCGTGTAATAGATGCCACGAGTCTCAGTTACAGGTGATTGTAATCACGATTATATTCATATTATCATGTTATTCATCATTAATGGGCTGAAATAAATTGATTTATTTTATTTTCTCTTTGAAAATAATTCAGTTTGATTTATCCCATCATTAGGTAGATTAGATGGACCTGATAAATTAAAACATTATCAAACCATATACCAAAGAAAAAATTTGTGTTGGAGTTGATGTAATTAATATATTAGAAAAAAAATTCATTGAAAGATAGCTTGTCATAGAATTAAATTATCGTAATTGAATAAAATACAATAGAGTTGAAAGAAAGCTGTGATTTAATTGAATCTTGAAGAGATGAGTTTTGATTAGTTGATGAGAAAGTTGCCAGTTACCTGCCCATATAGGGTATTCCTGGTAAAGTGCTATT